ATGCCACGGCACTCTACCCAGGGGGATAGCTTGAGGCTCCGTCTCAAAAAAAAAAAAAAAAATTATACATCTTTGTTGACTGGTGGACTCTGTCAGGAGAATGCAAGCTCCATAAGGAGGTATTGTCTGTTTATTGCCATATCCCCAGTACCTAAAACAGTTTCTGGCCCTTCACTGGTCCTCAATAAAAATGAACACTATCACTGAAAGTTTCCACATCCCTGTTAGACAGTAGCTCCTGCAAACCTATTTTATACATGAGGAAACTGGGACTCAAGGAGGGGCGTCACTTAGCAATGTGGGTCTAGCTTCAGTTGGGCTAGGGCAAGAAAATAGGTGACCTCTCTGTGGTGATGGGTGGGCAGGCCCTGTCTTCCATGGAAGAGGAAGAGGGATGCTCCAAAGTGTACAAGTGGGAGCTACAGCATGCCCCCTGCGGGACCAGCCCCAGAGGGAGGAGATGGGACTCATCTCAGCCTGCAGTTGCTGTTTGCTGTTAGGATATGGGTTTCAGGGGCTCTTGGGGAACCCCTGCATGGGAGTGAAGGGAGAAATCTTCACACCACCATCACTTGCTGGCTAGTTCCAGAAGTCTTACCTCTATACACCCCTCTTACAACTGGTTTTCAGATTTTGGTATTTTGTCCCACCTCCCCTCCACAAAAAGGGTTCTCTTTTCCTGATGGGTACTCTCTCTCTAAGCCCCCTAAATACCCCTAAAGAACCTTCAACACACTATTATGATTACCTACTGTTTGTTTAATAAGTATAACTATAGCATATAAATGACTCCATTAAACCTAGACAGACCATTTAACAAAAGGTGAACCCTCATATACTCACCACCCAGGAATAAGAGCACTGTTCACACCTAGAAGTCCTGGGGGTCATGCTTCCCCATCAAACATCCTCCCTGATCCCAGGAAGAAATGTGTGGATCACCTGATCACTCCTCTGTTAATAAGTTGATATATACCCTTTAACAATTTTACCAAGATAATTCTTTTTTTTTTTTTTTGAGACAGGAGCCTCAAGCTGTCCCCCTGGGTAGAATGCCGTGGCATCACAGCTCACAGCAACCTCCAACTTCTGGGCTCAAGCGAGTCTCCTGCCTCTGCCTCCCAAGTAGCTGGGACCACAGACACCCGCCACAACGCCCGGCTATTTTTTGGTTGTAGCCGTCATTGTTGTTTTGCGGGCCCAGGCTGGATTCGAACCTGCCACCTTGGGTGTAGGTGGCTGGCGCCTTAGCCACTTGAGCCACAGGCGCCGAGCCCAAGATAATTCTTCAAACATTTCTTAGGCTGGCTTTATGACTAGTAGTTGCAAATTCTCTGGCTGTGTAGAATCTGCCCTGTGTGGCATGAAGCAGGATCTCACCTAATGTGCACATTGTGAGGGAGTATAACCCGCCACCTGGGTGAGGGGCTCTTTACCCTGGAAGTGAGAACAATGTAACCTAAATACTGTACCCTCATATTAATTTGAATAAAGTTAAAAAAAAAAAAAGAATCTGCCCTGTAAGAGCCTCTACTCACAACACTCTACCTAGCTAAATGCAATAATATCACATTTTTTTGCTATGAATGGCAAGGAGTTGGCCAGGTGTGGTGGCTCACATCTATAATCCTAACACTTTGAGAGGCCAAAGGGGGAGGACTGCCTGTTGAGCCAGCCTGAGCAATAGCAAGATACTGACTCTATAAAAAATGTAAAACTTAGGGCAGCACCTGTAGCTCAGTCGGCAAGGGTGCTGGCCACATACACCTAGGGTGGTGGGTTGGAACCAGGCCCGGGTCTGCTGAGCAACAATGACAACTGTGATCAAAAAATAGCCAGGCATTGTGGCAGGCACCTGTAGTCCCAGCTACTTGGGAGGCTGAGGCAAGAGAATTGCTTAAGCCCAAAAGTTAGAGGTTGTGTGAGCCACGGTGCCCTACCCAGGGCGACAACTTGAGATTCTGTCAAAAAAAACTAAACTAAAACTTAGTTGGGCATGGTGGTGCACACCTACAGTCCCAGCTACATGAGAGGCTGAGGCAGGAAGATTGCTTGAGCCCAAAAGTTTGTGGTTGCTGGAATGTATGATACCACATCATTCTACCCAGGGTGACAGACTGAGACTCTGCCTCAAAGTAAATAAGAAAGAAAAGGAAGGGAAGGGGAAGGGAAAGAAAAGAAAGAAATGAAATGAAACAAAAATCAGGGTAGTAGGTAAAGGAGAGGGGCCATGAATGGGAGGGAACATGAGGGGGATTCTGAAAGGATGGTCATGTTTGTTCCTGCATTTATTTTATTTATTTTTAAATTTTTTTATTGAGACAGAGTCTCACTTTGTGGCTCTCAGTAGAGTGCTGTGGTG